TGCACCTTTACATGGCTTTAGGGGGTCAAACTCAGGTATCCAGGTATTTTGGCAAATGCCTTTACCCACTGACTCATCGTATTTTTCCTGTTTCTTTCTTTTTTGAGATTTTTTTAATATGTGCCTGAGTACTTCGCTTATATGTATAACACCTATGCCTGGTGTCCAAGGAGCCCGGAAGAGGATGTTGGATCCTTAGAATTGGAATTAAGGTTAGTTGTGGAGTGCTATTCGGGTGCTGGAAACTGGAGCATGTCAAATCCAGAGCAGAGGCTGCTTTCAGTCTTCCATGGAGAGCCATCTCTTCTGCCCACACCCATATTTTCAGTCAGGGACACCACTAAACTTAGAGGTCACTATTTCAGCTGGACTGGCTTGTCATCAAGTCCTAGAATCTGCCTCTCTCTGTCTCCTGCACTGAAGTTGCATACACATGTATTCATGCTCTGACCTGGTGCAGGGGATCCAAACTCACGGCCTGCTGGCTTATGAAGAAAGCACTTTACCCAGTGAGCCATTGCCCCACGTGCTGGGACAGTAGCTGGCTGGGAAAGCGGCTGAGAGTTAGAATTTAGATGACCTCTGCCTTTGTCACCAGTTAGCTACTGAGGCTTGGTGAAGTCAGTCACCGCCAGCTCTTCAAAGCCAGTCTTCCTTTTCTCCTAACGCCCACAACTGGACCACATTTCTCATTTTACCTAGGTGGTTGAATTCTAGCTAATGTAAGTGTGACTAATATGGACTCTCCAAGTCTTGCAAATAAGACCTTACATTCCTCATCTTCTACCCAACCCATGTCCCATCATCCTTTTTCAGCCTTCTTGCTTACCCAGATGAGAATAAAACTGGCAACTCTGGAAGCCTTATTAAAGGCCATTTGGTAATGAGCCACTCAAGAATTGGTACCCACATGTGAACAAGAAGCAGAACCACTTCTGATGGAGAGCCACCCCAATATTAGAGTAATCATTTCCTTAAAGTGCATTAAACATTTAGGGCTGACTCATGGAGTCTGATTCTGCCTCATTAACATAGAATATAATGATGTCTACCACACAGACAAAATAATGTATATAAGCTCTGAACATAAAGCTTGTGACTTCCTTTGTAAATGAGAGTATGAACTGTTGTGAAAGTAATGAGATTCAATATGAAGCTAATTAGATGTCAAATGAATGTGTTTTGTGAATTGAGAAGTGCTTTGCAAATATTGAATACCCCAGAATTCTTTTTCTTCCTTTCTTTCTTCTTATTCTTGGGGTTGGGGTAATCTAAGAACTCTTGAAATTAAATTCTGGGAAATCTTTTCTAAAGGAGAGGAAGAAACCTTACCTTTTCACTTGCCTATTTTAGTTTTGGTCTTTCACTATGAATACACAAGTCTATTTTCGTTTTGGTCTTTTACAATGCATACATAAGTCTTTTATGCTGGATATGCTTGCATTGTAATTTGTTTTAATATTGTATTTTATAACTCAGGGCCTTCATTTAATATTATAGTTTTACAAACAGCCTATGTTTGTCTTCACAGAATCCATCTTACTAATTTAGGACTGTGGTTGGCATAGCTCTGTTTTATGCAGATGCTTTTCAAAATGGCAGAAATCCAAAACTGTGAGATGAAAAATGGTCTCAGTAAAATGAGAAATCACACACGGTGAGTTTCTTTTCCAAAGAACATTGCTTCAAGGTGAAGTGATTGTCATCATGAATCCTTTCACGTCTTAAGACGAAAACTCAGTCTTAAACTGTTCATTGCCTTGGTGGCTAGAGTTTTTACCAGTGACCCTTTTCTCATTTGAGAGCATGCCTAGAATAGCTTTGTTCATTTCAAAGACTAATGAGCACCACACACTGATGAGTAGCTTGGAGAAGTCAGTCATCTGCATCTGAATCCTTCCAGTGAGATGATTAGTCCACCATGGCTAGGGTTTCTTGTATTCCTATAATTTTTAATGTGAAAAGGCCTTACTTACTGAAAATGTTCACTTTTACCTTTGGCTTTTAAGCATTATACCAAGTCAAAGTATGCTAAGAATAAGAAAATTGGCCATAAAAGAAGGCATTTAATGATGATGACTATGATGGGTTTTCTAAATCTTCTTATTCTGTTTTTATTATTATTTTGCTCCATTTAAAGGAGTCACATTTTGTTACTTCATAGTTGGTAGCTTTTACAAGCCAGACAAAAGTCTGAATGGTAAATTGTAGTATGTGTCAGATACATGCTAATTAAATTAGCATTGGTTGTAAAGGACAAATTAATATTCTCACAGGGCTCACAATTAACTAAGTGTTGTCTTCGTGTTTTTGCACAGTATTTTAAAACACATGAAGACAGACCATACATCACCCATTTACTTATCCATGTGCTAAGTTTTTCTAGTCACAGGGTCCTGCAAATATAGAACACTGTCCTTAGTTCTAAGGATAAAATCTGGTGACCCCAGTTGCTGACCTCCAGAAGTGTCAGCCTCATGCTGGAAAGAAAGATAGCCTTAAAGAACTCCATATCACAAATTACATGAAATGAATATGCCATTTGACATTTGAACACTTAATTGTAAAGTTATTTCCAAAGTTGGTAGAATATTTTTTGGTCTCTTAAAAGTTTCTGAAGAAAAGATAAAGTTCTGCTTCCCAAATGGCCCTTAATTGAAGCAGGATGACAGGTATTTAATTAAGCATTCTCTAAGGCTAATGTCACAGGAAAACACTGCATCTCATCAAACCTGGAAGGGCTTTACTGTTTGTTTGCTGGGATCACAGATGTGTGCAAACACACCTGATAAACCCTTAGTTTAATAAAACCACTTTGGAATTCATTATTCATTATTCATCAAGCATATTAATTAACTTCTAAGTATACAAAATACTGTAACTTCCAAAGGGCCAGAGACCTGATCTTTGTTGGCTGTGGTCATTTGGAAGCATAAAACAGGCTCTTGATTTATACTTTGTTAATTACACATTGAGAGAACTTGGAGAACAATTACTGGATTCTGAGTGTACCCCAAGCCATAAGCATGGGTCTTGCAATACCAGTATTGCAATATATATATGAGCTTCCAGTAAAGTAGATGAAGTACTGTCCCTCAGGCTTTACAGACCCAAGAAATCTCACAGCTTGATTAAAGAAACAGGGTGAGGAGAGTGATGAGCCTGTCAGCAGGCCATGGATTGATGGTAGACTTTAACTGGAAAGGAATATAACTTAACTGAAAAGAGTTTCTTCCACATTTTCACACACACACACACACACACACACACACACACACACACAACTCTATGGCATGCACAGGCATAACTAGAAAAGCATTAGTTCTGGGGAGTCTTCTGGCCATGGCTATGGAGCAGACTCTCATATTCTAAACCCCACACTTTCTGCTGCTCTCTGCTTTATTGCTTTTTGAATGAGGTCACCCCCCTCCCCCAGGTAAATAATTGTGAGTTGATACTTCAATGCTTCTACTTAACATAAGCAAGATGTAATTAAAAGTGGCATTAAGACTGAAGATTAGGAAAACCAACAGCACTCTGTATATGCTTAAATCTTTAAACATAGAAAGATCTGTTTTTCTTTTTTCCCCATTTTTTCTTAAGTCTGACTCAATCCATTATGGAAGACATCTGCTTAATTAAAACAGCTCAGTTTATCTTTAAGGAGAGCAAGTACTGTATTTCATCATCATGGTCAAACACAGTATAAAAAGTTTACCTTAGTAAAACCTCTGCGTGTGTATGTGAGCCTGCACAACTATTACGCTGTAGTGCTACCTAGAGAATTTGTATAGAGACTTCCAACGCAGAAAAGGTTGTTAAACCGTAGCACCGTACAAAGCAAAGCAGTGTCTTACGAGGAATACTGGAATGAAAAATGATTTTCTTATTTTTTTTCTCCTCCTCCTTCTTCTCCTTCTTCTAATTCTCCTCCTTTTCCCTTCTCTTTTATTTAGTTTTTGTTTTTAATAGAAAATTCATACAATGTATTCTGATCATGGCTCCCCTCCTCCATCTCATTCCTGCCTCCCCAAGCACCAACTATAAGCGAGACTTTCTGGCTTTAGCCTCTCATCAAGCAGTTCAGGGTCTTTAAAAAAAACGTGTTTATTTTTTTGTCTCAAAAGTCACACTATGACTTCATGTCAATCGTGTAGGGGAAAATTATAGTCTGCTGGCAAAGAAGTGCCACTAGTAATGACAACAAAAACAAAACAGGTCAGTCGCAAACAAAAGCTAGGGCACAGGTGTAGAGGATTTGAGCCAATTGCCAGGTCAGGCTCAGGGTGGAAGGATGCCTTAGTTCCTCAAAGGCAATTGCTCTTTGGCTGCTCAAGTGCTTTCTCTGATGGTCTTTGCAGAAGTTTGGGGTCTGTCTCAGCCTTTTCCGAATCATGGAGACTTCAGTTTAGGGACCAACCCTGTGGATTTTTTTCCTTCCTCCGGACCCCGGGAAGAGGAGTTGAGCTGCACAGCTGGGCCAGTTACCTCCCCAGGGAGCCGAGGCTGGCTTTCGTGGCTTCGAAAACTTTCCAGAGCGAGTGCCACGGCGACGGGCGGCAGCTGAGTCGGAGCCCACGCGGCCCGCGCCTCCTGCGAAGAACTTTTCGTAGTGGCGGTGGCTTGTCACTCTCGCTTTCCGACGCGCCTCCCCCTGGCTCGTGCTCCCAGAGCGCCCTCCCTCCTGGCGGGGACCTTCCCTGGAGCCCGCCCGCCCCGCAGTCCCTGTCTCGGCCGCTCGCCGGCCCCGAGGCTCCAGAGAGCGGGCGCCCCTCTCCCTGGCCACACAGCCGCGCGCCCGCGCCACCGCCTTCAGGCTTTTCACCATGCCCCAGCAGCGCCCCGCGCACTGAGAGCCGCCGGTCGTGGGGCGAAGAGGAGCGGGGGACGCGGGGAGTGGAGGAGGGGACCCGTCGCCTTGGAGTCGACTTTTCGCCGATGGTCCAAAGCGACACGTCCAAGTCGCCTCCCGTAGCGGCGGTGGCGCAGGAGAGCCAGATGGAGCTGCTGGAGAGCGCGGCTCCCGCGGGGGCGCTCGGAGCACAGGTAGCCACAGCGCCGCGCCTTCCGCCGGCTTTGTGAGCCCCGGGGCGCCGACCTCCTCTCGCCGCCGACCTCCTCTCGCCGCCTCCGCTCCGCGATCGCGGACCTGGCCTGCCCTTCCCGCTCGGGTCTCCTTTGCCACCTCCCCGCCCCCCAGCTTTCCCCCTCCTCCGGGGCTGCCTGGGACCCTGCCCTGCACGCCTTTCCCCGGCTCTGCTCCCGCTTCCATCTTTTCCTCTGCTTTCTGAAAAGCCAGTGGGAAGGGGCTAGGGCGACCTGCCGCTCCTCCCGGCTTCTCCCGGTCCGCGCGGCTCGGCGGTCCGCGCCCCTGCCCGAGAGAAGCACATGGAGCCATGGACCAGGCGAGCGGACTGGACCGGCTTGTGATCGTGAGTCCCGGAGGGCGGGAAAGGGCTCCGCGTCCCTCAGCGCTGTTTGTCGCTGCCGCCTCTGGTGGTCTCCGCTAGGAGCTGGGCGGGGAGGTGAGGTCGACGCCAGGGTCCAGGTGGGCGTGGAACCTACTGCCTTGTCCCCGGAGGGCAGCCGCTACCCGCTTAGGCACCTGGGGCGTTGTGCCACCCAGACAGTTCAGCTGTCTCCTTGCCAGGCAGGGCTCGCCTGGACCCCTCGTTCCTTCGCTTTAAGAAGAGAGCAGAGGATTGGGGAGGAGAAAGTTTTTGTTTTGTTTACCCCATATGGCAAGCCTTTCTAGCTGCTCCTGGGTTCCCCTCTCTGATGAGTGTTAGCGGTTTCTGGAAAATTTCTGTTCCGCTGCTCGTTGTGAAATAGGAGATGTCAGTTGTAGGCGTACAGCACGATAAGGTGGCTTTTACGTAAGGCTTTGGCAGGTACAGTTGGGGTTTCAGACACCCTCAGATCTGAGCGGGAAGGAGTTCTTCAACCTTTATTCTTGGGGTAAAGTCTTCAAACTTGACACTTCTGCTAGCTGAAGAGGGGTGAGCCCGGGGGAATGTTTCTCTTTTGCTTAACGTCTTTGGCTTGCTGATTTCAAGCCCACGATTGCCAGGTTGTAAACTGTCACATCTGTATACATAAATACTCCACAACATAAAACACGCCGGGACGTGCTTACTGCGCAGTGGTGGCGTGCAGCGTTCCGGGAAAGGTCACAAGTATGTTGCCGCTGCCTGGTGGATGGCAGCGACGGCAGGATTTCTGTCCCGGGACAAGGGTCCCCACGTGGAATAATTCAGTAATTCAGGCTCTGCTGACACCCCCTCCCCGTGTGTGTGTGTGTGTGTGTGTGTGTGTGTGTGTGTGTTTACGGTGCACGTTTGCATGCTGCTACGCACTCACATGTGGTGTGTGTGCAGGCTGAAAGGTTGCCTGTGCCGGGTCAGAGAGTCAACTGCAGAAGGCCAGTGGCTTCTCTCCACACGGCTGTGTGGATCTCAGGGCCTGAACTCGGGTCCTCAGGCTCCCTGGCTGGTGGTGTTACCTGCTCAGCCATGTTGCTGACCTTTGCTGAACTTTTCTTGGCCACTGGAAACTGCACATTCTAACTCAGACTGCACAATTTACATGATTAGAGATAGAGGAAGAAGTATGGTTAATATGGATTTATAAGTCAGAATTTCATTTATTTTCCCTCCCTTCCTTCTTCCTCCCTCCCTCTTTCCTTCCTTCCTACCTTCCTTTTCCCCCTGAGATGGGGTTTCCCTGTGTAGCTGTGGCTGTTTTTGACTTGCTCTGTAGACCGGGCTGGACTCAAACTCATAGAGATCTGCCTGCCTCTGCTTCCCTGAGTGCTGGGATTACAGGCATGTGTCACCGTGACCTGCTCAGAAATCCATTTCTTTTGTGGTGGTAATAAGGTAGGCTTCAGTCTGCCTGGGCTGTTGGGCTGGAAAGGCTAGTGGGGACCTGTAGCTGACTGGTGCCCTCTGCCAGAGGACCTGAATTCGAACCCACAGGGCTCACGCTTGCTTTGGGCTCCTGATTTAATCGTGATACCGCTTGCCAGCTAAGAGGAAGGTAATAAATGTATTCCGAGAGCGAAGCTGTACAGGGATGAGGGGCTTGAGGATTGAGAGAGGAAGGGAATTGAAGTGTCTTTTCTTTGAAGTTTGTTTTTAGAATTTTTTTTGGAAAAGATTTTATTTTTGTGAGAAAAATAAAATTTTTGGAATCTTGGCAATCAAAGTTAGGGCTGATACACCAAAAGAAAAAAAAAGTGACCATATTCAAGTAAGAGTAGTAATTTACCTAATTACTAATAAATGTAAGACAGCAAGTACCCAGCGTGCAACTGCAATTGGGCATTAATCTAATGTGGACAGATAAAATTTCTGTCTTCAAAGGGTTGATATCTCTGTAGTTTCATGAAAGGCAAATGGGACCTTTGTGTGGGTGGTCTGTCTGAGAATGCAATGAGTTAAAAAGAGTAAAGGTCACAGATCTTGAGTTATCTGTAGTGCTTGACAGGGGAGGTGGCATTTGAGAAGACATTTGGAGGGTGAGCTAGATTTTAACAGAAACTTTAAAAGACATAGTGGAAGCAACACATGAAACCTTTGTAGGAATTAGAAGTTTTCTCTATAGGATGTATTTGAAATATCTAGGGTGGAGAGCAGAGAAAAGATTGACTTGGGAAATGCCAGCCAGCAGGCTGACAAGGCAATTTGAGGCCCTGTCTTGGAGATTTTTGAATAACAGAGATCTGTGGCAAGGGTTCAGAAAAGGATCCACATGACAGCGCACTGGACAGACCCACAGAGAATGTTCTGTAGGACAGTTTGCAGAGCAGAGGCGAAACTGAAGAAGGAAGGTTAATAGACATACAACAGCTTGAACAAAGGCTAATAACGTCTAAACTCAAAAGAGATGGAAAGATAATGGCTGTGTTAGGTTAGGTCTATGCATCAGAGATTTCAGAGGCCAAGCCAGGGGAATTAGCACATGACTGCACTGATACTGGATAGAGAGCAGAGGAGTTTATAAATTAACATATGCCAAGTGAGGTTTATTCTCTCCTGTTCATTCTCTCCTGTCTTTTGGGACTCCTAAAAATGAAAGAAATTTTGCATCAATTGTGTTTGTCTTACATGCTTTATGTGAGGTCAGAGTTGTACAACTTATGTTATATCTAGGAAGCTCTGTCATCAGAGGTCTCTTGTGAAGCTTGGCAGGACCTTAAGCCCTCCGGTGTCTGGGCAGAACACACTGGCTGTAGATTCTACCTGAAAAAGAAGGTTGCCTTGGGAGTATCTTCCCTTCACCTTTTCCTATTTCTATTTTTTTCTTTGCCATTTTTCTTTTTTGTGGGGGGGGGGGAGAAGGAGGGAATCTTACTCCTTTTGTTGAAGGTACTAAATAATAGTCATTCTCTTCAGAAATGTACAAGTAGAACTTCCATTCACATATAAACTTCTCAGTCATCCTTGGCTCTAAGAGGCAGTTACTTCTTTTATTTTTAATCATCAGGATTATACTTTTCATGGGAACAAAGTGAAAGGTACAGACTCACAAACTCTTTTCAATCATTGATTTGTATTTTGCCTAAGAAGATGGAATAATAACTCTATCCATTTGAGCTCTGCATCCAGGAACAAAGCGGATGTGTTTGTTATGTACAATGTCATGCCAGCACAGACCCTCAAAGTTCTGACTTTAGCAGACTGCATTGGTTTTTAGGTAATGGCTAGATAGTATGAGAACACACCTGAAGCTAGAAAGTCAATACTTTCCTAGGGCTCTCCAAGCTCCAAACAGGATGGTCTTAACTGTATTAGCTCCCTCTGGCCTCTGGGGACTTGAAATGTGGCTAGCCCAATCTGAGATGTGTTGTGCATATGAAACACATACTATATTTCAAAAAGTCACTGTGAAACAATAAACAGGACACATCTCCATTAATAATTCCTAAAGCAAATAAAGATCAAAATGATAGTATGATTGGCTTGTTGAGTTAAACACAATGGGTGCATTGTTATAATTAATTTCCCCGGTTACTGTGCTGTCACATAGGGAGTGGGTTTTCTTGTTGGACAGCATAACGCTAAAACTTGTAGTTGTTCCTTCTCGAAAGAAGGAGAAAGCTCCTGGGAAGGCTGGTGGGTGGATGGGAAGCAGGTGAGAAGGATTGGAAATAGGATAGTGACAGAAGAGGAAATGGACTAGAAACAGAACAGGCGCTCTACAAATTAGGCCTCAAAGAGCCAGTAGCCAGCATCTCCAGTCACACCCGCCAATGAAGGACAGTAAGCAGAGGGCCTGTTTATTTTGCTCCTAGCAACAGATCCCAGCTGGTTCCGCCTCAGCCAGTTCCCCAGCTGCCTTTCAGCACACCATAGAAACAGTCTGGTCATGGCAACATCCTGATCTGCTATAGGAGGGGCCTTATCAGAAAAGAGTGGCAGCCTGCCCTCCATTACTCTTGAACCAAGTTAGTCAGTTGTGCTCCCCACAAACACACTTAGGTCCTTGCCCTGTCTAGTCTGCAAATGCAGTGTCCAGGTTCCCATATTGTAGGGAATGCTATTAGTGTCAGGGGTTCTTTGGAGAAATTGAAAAACATGCCAATCAGAAATTCTGAGTGTGATTTTGGAATTCCTAATATCTGAGTGACACTAGTTTGAGCCCTTTCCTCCACTGTCCCCCCCTTCTTCTCCTCCTCCCTGACACTTCCCCTTCAGTTTGTGGAGCTGGGGATGGACCATAGAGTTTTGTACATTCTAGGAAAGTGCTTTATTACAGATATACATCCATAGCCTAGCTTTCTGTTATGTGATTTACCTGTTGCTGCCTTTGACTCTGTTGAAGTGTATGGTATGTAGTCTTGATCTTTTCTAGTAAAGTTGAGCTACATGTGTTAACCCTGTGGTGGAGTGGCGTGGAAGCCGTTTCAGTTTTGTGAGCCTCAGTCTGTGTTCTACTGACCATGTATGGCAAGCACTGCACATTATTTTTTACAACTACAGAGTGTAACAATTATTTATGATGCCTCTTTAAAGCAATTGAGCCTTTCTCAGAAATTTTTCCCTGGCCTCTCCTCTTCCTTTCCTGTGCTGGTTCTCACTGGGTTAAACCTCCCTTCCAGGACAAACCTTGTTCTACCTGCCTCATCCCAGAGAGCTATGGTATGGCCTGATTCTTTCTGCTTTTATGTGAGCTGGTCCACATGAAAACCAACTGTATTTTCCTTTTTCTAAGGAGGCAATCTCAGCTACTTCTCACCTGGGAAAGGACTTTGTTCACCCTCAAGTGTTTGTAAACAAGGGTGCTTAATGGATCCCTCTTGGATAATTTTGGTCTTGTTGACTTTGTCCCCCAAAATGAGGAAAGTCAGTGATTCAAAGGGCTGAATATCAGCAACTACTTATTCAGGAGAAGCAAACAAAAGCATCACCATTTTGCCCATGGAGAGCATCAAGCACAGACATCATTGTTCTTAAAGCTGTTCCCAGGGGCTGACATGACAACTTTGTTTGCACTGCAGAAATCTCCATAATTAACTACCACTGTCCCCTTCACCCATTCAAAAGTGAGGCTTTAACTACCTCTACAAACATGAGCATTTATCTGCTGATGTCAGAACAAGTCCTTTTTTTTTTTTTTTAAATTAACCAGTGTTGCAGATTATTCACACAAAGCTGGTTTTCAGATCACAAAGTATCTTGACTATCTTTTAAAATATGTCTGTGTAAGTTTCTTAAATTTATTCTAATTTCTGAAATCTCCGTGTGTTCTAATGACACAATTTGGTTTGCTGTAGCTGCTCATCAACAGCATTAGGAGGAGAAATGAGTGACTGCTGGGGTGTTCCACGCAGGTATCGGGGCAGTGTGTCCTTGGCAGCATTCACGTGCACAGCCTTTCCAACTCCAGCCAAACTCCTCTCTTTTCTCCTTCCTCCTCCTTTTAACCTGAGCTGCTGCAATGCTCAACTGTCTCAAATATTAGGTGTTAGTTGCTAATTAGCATTGAAAGAGCATTGTTTATTCAGCTAGCAGGGCCTAAAGCAGAAAATTAAGAAAATACTGTTTCTATTCCAAATATAGTCAACTAACTATTGTTTAATTATTAGATGTCCTCCAATTGAGGAGAGGATTCCTTCCCCACCCCCTCTTAAGCCCTTATTTTTCAGGTTATAAAGTAATTTTTAAAAACTAGCCATTTCAGACAAAATGGACTTAATTTTAAATATGCATTGGGTTACAAGAAACTATTTTTACTCTTGCACTGATACATACATGTATATAATGGGTCTTTCACCCCTGTTTCATTCTCTCTTCTTCTGGTTGAACCCCTTTTCCCCCCTAAAAGTCCCCTTCCTATTTTCATGCCTCTCTCTCTATTTTCTCACTCTCTCTCTCTCTCTCTCTCTGTGTGTGTGTGTGTGTGTGTGTGTGTGTGACTCACTGAGTTTAGTTAGGATTGATTGCATGAGCACTGGCAACTTATCAGTTGCTATAACACTGAAGAAAATGACACCCTCCTTGAATCATTAGGTATCAGTGATCCTTCTGCGAGGGATGGGGCATTGTAAGCCCTTTCCATTACATGATGGATGAAATGCTGATGAGTCCAGTTTCGTCTTGTGTAGGTTTTGTGTGAGGAATCACAGCTATAATGAGCTCAAGAATGGTTCACTAGGCCATGCCCTAAAGACACTCTTTTTTTGGTAGCACTCTTCCTTGGGTCTTGGTGGCAGGTGGTGACACAGATATTCCTCTTAGGGCTGAACACTCTCCATTTCACAAAACAGTAGTAGTAGGTCTTTCTCTGGGGCCTATGAGCTCACCAGATACAGGTTCCTGGAAAGATTCTAGTATTATTCTTGTGGAGTGGGAAAAATAGTTATGCTGAAATGAATAAAATAACAAGACTGAGGTATAAATGAGCATATTGTGTTTATTTTGGATCCAATAAATATGACATGCACTGAATAGCAACTGCCTATAACAGCATGAAATTTAAAATATTTAATACTTTTAGTCACTCCTTAAACATATGTGTGATTGAGGGAGACTATAAAACTTACTAGTGGAGTCTGGGGACATGGCTCTGAGTAAAGCATTTGCCATGTGAGCTTGGCGGTTTGAGTTTGACTCCCCAGAACCTGTGTAAAAAGGACACAGTAGCACACAGCTGTGTCTCAGCACTTCTGAGATGGGAGATGGGAGGGAGGGGGCAGGGACAGGAGAATCCACAGAAGCTGTGGGCTAGGTAGCCTGGTACTCACTGCTGCCTACTGCAAGACACTTGTTCCAAACAACATAGAGGGTGAGGGCTCATACCTGAGCTCATTGTCTGACATCATACATATAGATGCAAATCTAACACACACATTTACACATATGATACACATACATCATTCATACACAACGATTAAAAAAGAATAACAATTTGCATACAATTCAGTATGCCTTACTTTTTTGGATATAAACTGTATATAAAACAGTTGAAACACAAAAAGTGTTATGAACATGGCTTCTATTGGATGCTAAGTAACCGAAATTAATATTTGTAAACAATCTTATCAGGAGATTAGAAAAAGTAATGGGAAGTTTTTAATATGTCTGTCTTTTTTTTCTTTCTTTTTTAAGAGCAGCAGTCTCCCCTGGGACTGACTCTCTTCAGCATTCATCCTCTATTCTCACGGGGCTGATTGGGCAATTATGAATAGCCAGAAAAAATCTTAAGATAGTCAAGTAAATGAAGAATAAGCATAGTTATCATTTAAAAAGATAAAACAAACAATAATAGAATGTTTTTCTAGCTGTTTCAAACTAGTACTAAAAGGGAGGAGAAAAACAACAATAAGATTATATTTTGTCTTTGTTCTCAAAATTAACAAATTCTTCATGACGATAAATAATGTGTTTTACATAGACTGTTCCCAAGCATCCTAAAGAAACATGTTAAGTTTTATAAAATTATTTCAAAGTAGTAAGTAATTTTCCATATGGAATAATGTAAGTTTTTTAAATGCAGGGCTTTTCATAGCTTATTTTAGACTTCTTTGTCCTGGTAAGATGGTTTTGTCCAAACCTTCAGATAATAATTGAAAAAGGAAGCACGTTGTTAAAAGAACATTATTTTTCAACAGTTTACCAAATAATATTTACATAAGTCAGAAGAATAAGCTGCGAAGTGAGGAGAGCCTCGTATGTCACACAAAAGCCCAGCTCAGCTCCTCTTTCCTTTTATGAAGTTGAGAGTTAATCAGACGCCATGGAAACATGTTTCTATTACATAAAGCCCTTAGATACTTGGAACAGAACAAACATATTTAAGAATTTTTTTCTTTAATATTGCACCACACTCTCACTGATGGCAAATCCATTTAAATGACTCAGATCATAAATGTTCACAATAGAGTTAAGCCTGCAAAAGTGCTATATATATTATGCTTTATGAAGTGGTTTTAATTTTATGAAAACCTTACAAATAATCAAACATAATCAAGTAGCATTTTCAAAACCTGAATATGGTGATTTGAAAAGGGCAGGTTTTATAACTTTTGATCTCTATAAATCTAACAATAACTGGTATCATGTATGTGAGCCCAGCCTGTCCCTTTCACTTTTTATATAGTATTTGGACATTTATCATGAGACAATTCTATAAATAAAACTCTCTCTCTCTCTCTTCCCTCCCTCTCTCTTTCTCTGCCTTTCTCCCTTTGTGTGTGTGTGTATAAAAAGTAGGCAGTAACATGTGCTGGGTGAGCATTCTACCATTGAATGATATTTGAAGACCTTCATTTCACTTATTACTTAAAAACAAACCTGTGAACTACTATTTTGTTTATAATCACATTTGAAGATTAACATGGAAAGAATTTGGTCAAAATATGCTATAGACAGGATTGCCATATACATACGTATATATTTCTAAAATGCAGTGTTGAGCTGTTTTCCTATATACACATTAGATGGCAAAATAAACTTTATTTTTCTCAAAGCTGTAAGAATGGATGCTTACATTTTAACGTCTAATGCTGGAAGTGACTTTTTCTGTGCTTAGAATTCACATCAAATCATACATTGTTTATTGCCAGAGCTCTGAATGTGAATTGTCGGGCAGAAATAGAATAGAAAAGTCAAGTTTGTTGGTAATGTTTGTGCTCAACTCTGTTCTGTTATTGAAAGAAACCCTGTTTGGTTCTCCTGTTCTTACCTTTAATTTCTTATTTGTAAGTGACTTAAACTTTTTTTTTAATCTCTAGTGAGTTTTCCGTTTGGCTCCTAGCGTGTCTCAGAGTAATATGCTGTCTCAATCTACCAGTTACCAAGCACCTGGTCTAGACTTTGCCTCTCTCCACCATGTACTTCTGGATCTGAAAGAAGCTTTAATGGTCACTCCATATCAATTTTTCAACGATGCCTGTATAATAACACGTTTATTACCAGTTTGGGCTGACATTTTCTTGAGTAGGGCTAGATTCCTGTGGAAGGTTGTGGTCATCTCATTTCTGTTTCTCCTTCTCTTTCTCTTTTATGTAGTCCTATGGAAAAGGCGCCAGGAGGAAAAATAGGTTTAAAGGCTCAGACGGAAGCACATCATCAGACACTACCTCAAACAGCTTTGTCCGCCAGGTAAGGGAACACTCAAGTCATGGTGTGGGAAAAGTATATTTAAACTGAAATTCTGTTTTATTCTCTAAGTGGTTTTAAATTCTCTCTGAAGATTTATGCAGTATTTTTACTTGAAATCGAAGTGAAACACGTGCAGTTTAATGTCTTAATGAAAATATTTATGCTTCAAGTGCAACTCTGAATAATTACATTCTTGCCTGGCAAGTTGGGAAGAATCAGCTGCAGAATTCATTATGAAATATTTCTTCTCACAGAAAGACAGAAATGCTATGATAGGAATGAGTTTTGGGTTTTGATGGTCTTCAGGGAGAGGTCATCTATATCCCAACTACGACATGGCAATATGGATAGTTCTTTAGCTTTCTTTCTTTCTTTCTTTCTTTCTTTCTTTCTTTCTTTCTTTCTTTCTTTCTTTCTCTCTCTCTTTCTTTCTGTCTTTCTTTCTTTCTTTCTCTCTCTCTCTCTCTCTCTCTCTCTCTCTTTCTCCCTTCCTTCCTTTCTTCTTCTTCCTCTTCTTCCTCTTTCCTTTTCCTCCTCCTCCTCTTCTTTCTTTAGCTTTGGATTAAAAAAGAGAAAACAATCTTTGGTCTTGAATGGTTCCTGCTTCTAAAGTTAAGTAGATTGCCTGATGGCTTTGGGGTGTAATTTAGCTATTTGCTGCTTTTAGAGAGTGAAGCAGATCCTTATGGCGGCAGACTGTGTAAAGTCCTGTCCAGCAGAAAGCATCAGGCTGCCTAACATAAACACTCATGTGTTGCAACAGAAAGTACTTCAAGTTCCAGAGGAGTTCCACATGGTAGTCAGCCCTCTGAAGGACATGGTTATGAGTCAGTATTAACACCTCATGAGAGAGAGGTGAGCATAATAATGCCTCATGAGGTGAGCGGGTGAACACGTGTCTTCATCTAGCACCTCTAAGTGAAACTGGGGATGGGAGAAGGGTATAATAGAGAGCATGTTTTCCTGGCTGGTTGATGGTCAGTTTCTGGCCAGTGAATCTGTGTATAATTCTTTGTGGGTGCAGCTCACAGCCTAGATCAATGATTCTATTGGAAACATTTACTGGCTTCTTTGGATGTCCCTGGTTTCCATTACCTCTTGGGTCTTTTATCACAAGCCCAGACTCTGGTCTTGCCCCAACTTTGTTTGGCAGGAGAGTCTTCTATGAATCCTGGTTTGATCTTCTATGTTTTATTTTTGTTTTTGTTGGAGATCATAACACTTGATTCTTTATCCCAGTTGAGTCTGATGACTATGACACTGGCCTCTAGAGTTTCATTCAGGTTTATTTGTCACAGTAGACCAAGTTGGCCTTAAACATGTCTGCCTGCTATTTCTGTAGTCACTCACTCCATATGCTTTCCTTGCACAGGCACGGGGATTCCTGCCTAGCTGTTACTGTCCTCCTGCACTATTTAAATATGCCAAAGGTACATCCAAACAACTTTTAGGCAAGTGGAAAAAGAATTCGATTTATACCAATTGGGAGCTGTATTGGTTGCAGGAAGTAAAAAAAAAAGGTGTTAGGTTAAGAATGAGGAAACTTGTTTGAAGGAAACATTTGGAAAGACAACGATCAAGCCATATATGGCCCATCCTATATTAATGTTCCATTGGTGTCGGGGGGGCTGGGTGTACTGTGAAAAGCCTATGGTATGGTAGCACACACAGAACTAGTATTGGAGTCCCTAGGATGCCTGAAGAGCCCAGGATGCAGTTATTGAGCTTAGGTTACTCAGTTATAGGGAACATACTCAAAGGCTTTTTCATGTCAAGCACCTACTTTTATTTTGCTGTTGGGGTAACGGGACTGGACCTGGAGGGCTCAACTCTGGAATGTTGAGTTATTGCATCAGGCTGAGCGTTGGATAATGCAAAGCAGACAACTCTAAGAGTCTTCAGAATAGGATTTGCAGCAAGTCAGTAGATAAAGCCAAACAGCTTATAGAAAGTGGGTGAAAGTGGAAACTGAGATGTTTCAAGTGAGCACATTGTGATGAATCAGAATTAATAGTATGGACTCCATCATTGTTCATGTAAACTTTTTTTTTTTTTTTAAGATTCATTTATTACATATACAATGTGTGTTTGCATGTACATCTGCATGCCAGAAGAGGGCACCAGATTTCATTTTAGATGGTAGTGAGCCACTGGGAATTGAACTCATGACCTCTGAAAGAGCAGCCAGTAGTCTTAACCTCTGAGCCATGTCTCCAGCCTCCTCATTTAAGCTCTTAATTGAAAGACCAACCCCTTTCCCAGTTGTCCTTTTGCCAGGTGTTCCTCTTGGAAATTTTGAGGGCTCAATTCACAAGGAAGGAAGGGGTTTCTGCACTGCGTGTAAATGAACTAGAATTTAATTTTCCCGTCTATAACGTCTTTTTTGACATTGGGTTCTTAGGAAAGTATGTTTACATGAGACAATTTTGAGTGACTCAGGCAGCTCTTCCATCATTTAAATGTAGATAGAGATTGTTAAAACATATGTGAGCATGTAAGAAAGCAAAAAAATCTAGTCAGAAGAGTCAAGGGGTAGAAGTCTTCTTCTAGCATCTCAAGGAATGAGGTATGGTGTATGGCACGAAGCGGTAATTATCCAAACAGTTCGTCAGAAACCTGCTCATATCATTAAAGAGGAAAGCCTAGCAATTCTGGCAGGGGCTTGCAGTTGGGAATTATACTTTTGTCCTGACAATTTAATCTCCTCTGCAAATAACATTCATATTTTGCTGCTATATGAAAATGAGCAAAAGCTACTCTGACATGGTTAGATCCCTAGTAGAAGTGGACTGGGAGAGTGTTTACAGGAGCACATGGGCAATGGTAGGTATAAGCATGTTAGATTATGATGTAATGTGACTATATTCTTTTTATTGTTAGTACATGTTTTCTAAACAGGTTGTGTTGATGCTGTTATGTAACTGTCTGTGGCTAGGAATATTTATAATTAATGTTAAAAGAATATTTGACCACTAGAACTGAAATTTATTTTCTTCTTTTTCTTTCTTTTTTTTTTTTAATGGAGTCTTGCTGTATTGCTCAGGCTGGTATTGAACTCATGAGCTCAAAAGATTCTTCTCCCTCACCCTCCTAAGTACTGAGACCACAGGCATGTTCTACTACATGCAAGTTTTGACAACATTGCTTAACAGAATTACTCAATTAGATTCATTATGGTTTTTTATTTAAAATAATCTCTGTAATTTTGAAAACCTTAGAATTTCGTTTTTTAGATAGTGTATTATTGTGGGATGTAGGCTTTAAAAACTGGAAAAATGGGTTCTTTTAGGTAGTTATAATACTGATATTATTTACATGGCTTAGAAGCTGGGGCTGTGACAGTTTAGAATAGCAAAAAATCATTAGTATCTTTCTAATTTTTGGAGAACTAGTAGAAAAGCAGAGACCTTGTTTCAGGCTACTTGCTTCTCTTGAGAAATCACATATAAAACTCTGCTGTAACCATTACAGAGAGAGCTTCCTCATGGGGTCAATAAGGTTAAATAAGATGAAAGGCATAGGGTCTTAGTTTGGTATCAGTGGCCTTAGGAGGTAAAGAGGCAGTAGGGAGACAGTACACAGCCAAAGGCCATTTGAGGACCTAGCAAGACAATAGCCATATACAGAGGCATTAGGTACCTGGTCTGGCGAGAACATAACTTTCTTTTGCTTAAACCGCTCTGACATATGCCATGGCTGCTCAAGCAGAACGGCAGAGACAGATCTACTGAGAGACACGGAAGAGGACTTTTTTTTAGCTTTCACTTATTTCTCTGATTGATAGTGGGGTATGTTTGCTAAGAAGTCTATAACTCATGTGCTCAGATCACTGGACTCAGAATCAACGTACCCATCGCACCACCACCACAGCCAAAAAGTGCACACTCTGGCCTCCCAAACGCCTCATCCAACTGCTTTCGAGATCTGTTCTCCTCTCCTTAATTAAAGATAGCCAAGCTATTTCTTCCTGATGGACATTCATTTTTCCTCTTCCTGAAATTTTAGATAAACAAAATTGCATTATGCCTTCACTCTCACACCCAGCTTCACACTGGTCATAGTCATTCCCTGTGGCATGTCAGTACTCAGCTGGTCTTCTTTGCTGTATGGCCTTGCATTGCACGGGACGTGCCACAGTTAATTTCCGTGTTCCGCCCTTGAGAGACACTGGCTTATTTCTGTCATTGAGGTTATTAAGACAGTGCTGCTGTGTAAATTCATGGTATACATGGGCACATATGGATTAGGATGAAATATGCAGTCATATGGTATATATACGCTCAATAAAGTCACTAATGAAGAACAGTTTTCCAAAGTGGCTATACCAATCCTCATTACCTACGACAGCATCTGCCATTTCCCTTGTTCGAAAGTAGCCTGCACTTGATGCCAATAATTTACATCATAATAGCTCTCTGTCTGTGGAGTGGTAGCTCACTCTGGAGTTAGTATTGAATTGTTTATAATTAAGTCATAATTTCTCTGTAGCTGGGAAACATCAAGGGAGTATTGCATGTAAATACATACGATCTGAAAGATCTTCCAAGGGTTCTTTAAAATTACTCTTTATGGTAAATATATCATTAGCCACAATAACTAGATTTATACATATCTGATTAAATTATGTAATAACTATTGGAATACGGTGAAATGTTCTAGAATCTGTTAGAAGATGAAGAAAGGCTAGGCAATGAAAGGCTACAGAGACTTTGTGTGTGGTTAATTTTTCAGATTGCTGTTAAAGTGTTTCTAGTCTGTGTGTGTATGTTTCTGTGTACATGCGCATGTGTGTGTAGGTTTCGCTAATCAAGCTTAATTTTAAAAGAGAATCCTTATTCTTAGGAATATAAATGCCTATAGGTAAGCTTCTGCTTTTGGCTTGGAAGCAAAATTGCAGCTATCAGAGAGAGGAGCTTTAGCCCCAGGTGTGAGTTCCATTTTGTCTGTTACTCTTTCCCCATTACCCAACTATTCAATTATCTTTCTGGCCTTGGGAACCT